TGCGAGGCAAGCGCTTTACCACTCTGCTACAGCCCCAGCACCCCAAATTCTTAAGCATCTGCTGTAAGGAGTGAGGTGTATTGGTTTAGAAAAGCACTCTACAGGGAAGGTTTTAATGCATATTTTCTTCTTTGCATTGATCTATAGTCTAACTTTCATGTTAAAAATCTAAATGAGTTTAAACATGTATTATCGGTTATAATGTTTATGCTTATAGTTAGCTTTTAACTTATTGTTTAGTTTGTTTTCTTAAAGGATCTGAAATTCATTCACTGGCACATATTCATAGAATGCACACTGTGTGAGGCTGTCTCACTGGCAAGGATTAGGACTGCAGCCAACTAACTCTGATCTTACAGATTATGATCTCTGTGTTTACGTGCACAGCGTGTATGGGGGTGTGCTTGTGCACACACCTGTGTTCATGGGTGGCTGAGGGTGTAGAGTGGAAAAGGAATAAGACAGTAAATAAGAACAAGTAAACAGGGGCTGTATCTTTTTAGTAAGAATATTGCCAGAAAGAGATGATGTAGTGCCAAAAGAAATATCTGGTAAAAAGAAGTAAATTTAAATCATTGCAAAAGAAATTTTAGTAAATAATATCCCTAGCCAGAATGTAAACAAGGGCTCTCATGAGGACATCCTAGCTTTATGATGGCTGGCATTTCATTTCCCAGATTACAGAAACTAGTAGCAAAATCCTTCTAGAAGAACAGTAGAATGCTTGTCTAGTTGCCATAGTACGTCGTCATTCAGTATTTTATGTTTAAAGTTGAATTAGTTCATTTAATAAGAATTTGCTGCATGTCTTCTGTAGGCTGGTCAGTCATCATTTTAAGCTTGAAGAATTAGTAGGGAACCAAACGTGAACAGTCCTTTGAGCTCAGGGGAGTTAGGATCTAAGGTAGGCGTTGTGAGGGGGAAAAAGCAGTCCTTGGTCAGAGCACCAAGTCCTATTACCAGACTGTGGAGACAGCCTGTCATCCTGGTGTTCGCCATCACACCAGGCATCCCACGCATTCTTCCTTATGATTTTCAGCACTTAACATTTAAAGGGCCTCAGGCAAATCGTCTCATTTAAACAAAGCTGAATACTATGTACTGCGCTCATTTCACTGAAAGTACATGGGGTCCAGACAGGTGGAGGGGCCGTTGCCTTTGTTATCTTCGGCTGTCTTCCAGTGTGGCACTGGGGGTCTTCAGGGGAGGAGAAGGTTCTCCAGAGCCCTTGTTTGGGAGCAACCAGACGTGCCCCAAGTCATGTTCCCTTCTGAGGACATGAAGTTACTGTGTAAGCACACTGGGTTTGTTGTCTCCGCTCAGCAAGAACTGAGGAACAGGACACAGGGACAGCAAGCAAGCAGCAGGTCTGTCTCAGAAGTGGCAGACACACTTCTCTGAGAAGGGGCTGGGAATCCGGTGGGTAGTTTGGGCCTGTTCTTTATGATCCCTGGAATTTCCTCCTCTCCTTTTCTCCTCCCTGTCCACGCACCCCTCTGTCTGATTGGGTCCCCGCTGTGTCCACCACACTTCCATCGAGCAGGAAGCTGACCTCATCAGAAGACCCTCTCCTGCTCCTTTGTTCCGGGCCTGCCCCGACCTCCTCATTCGCCATCTGGCCCTGGCTGCCTGCGCCCTTCTATGGCTCCTGCCGTGACGGTGGTGGAGGTGGCTCCTGGGAGTGAGCACAGAACACAAGTGTCCACGAAGACCAGCAGCACATCTCTGCACTGCCAGCCGCGCTCCAGCCTTCCTGCTCCCCCTCCCCCCGCTGCCCTGGTCTTCTTGGCACCACCCTCCACAGCTGTGAAGTGTGAACTTGAAGAGATGCCCAAAGGAGCCGTTGCTTGTTTTCACTTGAAATCACAGCGCAGTCGGTTTTGTTTTAGCATCTCTGGCTTTTTGACTTCTTAGAAATATAAAATAAGAACCACCATATTTTCTTTATATTCTTCCATCAATAGTATTATTTGGATTGAGAATATAAATTCATACAGCCATTATGGAAAACAGTGTGGAGATCCTTTTAAAAATAAAAATAGAACCGTATGGCCTAACAGTCCCACTATTGTGTATCTATCCAAAGGAGTGGAATCAGCACTTCTGCACTTCTGCACTGATCCCAGCATTATTCATAGTAGCCAGAATGTGACCCACCTAAGTGTGCATCAGGAGATGGATGGTGAAGATGAGTGCCACACACAGCTGCATGCTCTGCAGCTATTGCAAAGAGGGAGTTCTGTCATCTGTCACAACACAGATGAACCTGGAAGACCATGTGTAACTGCAGTCAGCCAGACCCAGAAAGACAAACGCCACATGGTCTCATTTGTATATGGGATTCAAAGTCATTGAACTTGCACAGTAGGATAGTGGCTACTGAGGCAGGGGCTGGAGATTGGGGAGAATCAGGTCAAAGAGTTTCAGTTTCACAGGACAAAGAGGTTCCAGAGGTCTGTCTACAGCATGGTAATTACAGTGATAACATGACACCTTCCTGAAAAAATCAAAGAGCACGTCTTAAGTCTTCTCTCCACAAACTTACACAAAACAATGGACATTCATACATATTCATATTTGAGTTTTTCCTCATTTATAGCATTTTTGAAGCCAGTTATTTTTCGTGGATCAGTTTTTTGTAAACCAGACTGTTTGATTAGTATGTTTTAATTTTGTTTTGTGTTCTTTCACTTTTAATTTGATCTTAATTTTTACTGTATGATTTTTCTTCCTACCCGTTTTCCTTGATTCCTTTCTTCTGCCAATCTCTATTGCTCTTTCACTCTTAATATTTTACTGCTTTTTCCTTCCTCCTCCCTCATAATCATCACATCCTATTATCACTTCTGTTCTATCCCTGTCTACCATTTGAAATTATAAACCTTTTTGCAACTTGCTGTTTTTATTATAGGCAATAACTGATCATCTATTGTGATAATTAACATTGTAGACATCGTAGTAGGAAATATTTTGTTTATGCTGTGAATTGTTGGATTAGGTTGTTGTCTCCCCCTCAACAATGAGGTACTAGAAGGCTTCAAAAGACACTATAAATGCACAGGGTAGAAACTCGACTGCCTCAGATCCATACTGTTAGATGGGTAGACACACAACATGAGAAAGCAAGGGAACAAGTTGCCCCGAGCAAACCAAGATACTCCAATTACAGAATCCATCAGCGCCAAAGTGGAAGAAACGTCAGAAGGAGTTTAGAATGTACATAGTTAGACTGTGAAGTAAAGGATTATGTAAGAGAGCAAAGACAGTTATAGCAAAAGATCAGTTCAATAAAGAGGTTCTGAACAAAAATCCTTGAAATTAAGGAAACTAAATTAAAAATTCAATAGAAAACATCACCAACAGACCAGACCACCTGGAAGACAGAGTCTCAGGCAATGAGGACAAAGTATATAATCTTGAAAATAGAGTTGACCATGGAGAGAAGATGTTAAGAAACCATGAACAGAAAGATGGGATAACATGAAAAGATCAAATTTAAGATTTATCAGGATAGATGAGAGTGTGGAGATACAAACCAAAGTAATATACAATCTTTTCAATGAAATAATATCAGGAAATATCCCAAACTTAAAGAATGAAATGGAAAAAAAAAAATCAAATACAAGAGGCTTATAGGACTCCTAGTAGACCCACACCAAGGCACATTATAATGAATCTTCCTTGACCTGAGATATTTATGTGTGTGCCATTTAATTTTTAAATAGTTGACAGATGGGGGTGGGGTTCTATATCTTAAGGTGATTGATTTCTACTGTAGTAAATCATGCAGGAAACAAGTCTGCATGATTTCAAATTTTAAAAAAGTAGTGGAAATACTTTGTTTTGATAGCATTGGTTATATACATGTCAAAAATGATCAAATTTCTTACTTCAATGTATGCATTTTATTGTGCTTTAGTTTTACCTCAATAAAGCTATGAGGAGCCTGGGGGAGGGAGCTCTACAAATTGTCAGCTGCATGTCACTCTGAGCCCTTTTGAAGATCCCTGGAAACTCTTCGGCCTCAAATCCAGGAAAAGCTGTTCTTTGCTTGAGTTTCTGGCATATTCTGCCGTTCATCTCACCCTCCCTTTGCTATGACCAAGGTGGAGTTTGGAGACACACGTGGCTCAGCTTTGCCAGTTATCCAGAACACTGTAAACACGGCTTCCAACCTCCACACTTCGTCTTGCTGTCCTGTACCTCCATCTCTGTAGCCTTCCGTTTCCTTGTTTTGCTACCATTTTATGGACACCTCACCAGATCTCCCAGTATCTAGACGTTGTAAGGTCCCCCTAACACCAGTGTTTGCACAATGGAGCTGTGAGGAACCGGGAATCAGCTGGAGCACAGGGAGGGGCGTCTGTCTGGTCACTGGGTGTGGGTGTCCAGATGCCCAGACTTGTTCTGGCTCAGCGACTCTGGACCCTTGCCTGCTTGTTCCGGGGCTGCATTTCCTGCCTGCCCCTTCATCAGATCTTGAGCAAGTGTCTGTCTCCCTGCCACTCCCCACATGCCCCCAGGGCAGTGAACACGCAGTGCCTGTGGCAGCCCAGTGACCTTCCCCTCTGCTTGGCTCTGCTCTGCTGCCAGGGCACAGCGGGCTGGTTTCCTCTCATTGCTTCTGCTAAGCTCTTCACCCTGCGGATCAGAGGACAGTCTCTACCAGTGTGCTGTTAGGACTTGTGTCCAGCCTGCCCTGCAGGCTTTCCCTCCAGACCAGCCTGTATCATGACACAATGTCAGGAAGCCCAGACATGCCCAAGGCGCTGGCTCTCAGATCCCGGAATGTGACTCTTGCCCGGGTCAGTGCATAAGAGACCAGAGAATCCAGAGAATCCAATGGGTGTGGTGATTTGTCTTCTTTTCCTCTTTTATGATTTTTTTAAGTAGATGAAATTCAAGTTTCAGATTCAGGTTAACAACTACTTATTTAAAAAAAATAAGTGGAAACTACTTTTCTCAGGTTCCTTTCTTATGAATACTTCTCTTCCTTATAGGAGCTTATACATTTGTTCCATGGCTTCTCAGCTTTAAGAGAGGAAGAGCCCTGGAAGAAAAAGAGAATAAAATAGTGGTGAAAGAAACCGGGTACTTCTTTATATATGGCCAGGTAGGTTCACAGCCTCCTGTTTATAGTTCGATGCCTCCCGATCCGTGCACTCGTCTGGCAGTGTTCTTTGGTTTGTTCTCAGGTTTTGTACACCGATAGCACCTTTGCCATGGGACACCTAATACAGAGGAAAAAAGTCCACGTCTTTGGGGACGAGTTGAGTCTGGTGACATTGTTCCGATGTATTCAGAATATGCCAGAAACACTACCCAACAACTCCTGTTATTCAGCTGGTAAGTGACCGTTCTCAGACCTGCTTGTTGTGGAATGCAGACAGACTGGGCTGAAAATCTAGCTGCCCAGGGCAGGAAAGAAAGGACAGGCCATAAATATAAACAGACAGACGTTCTTCAGTACATTGTGTTTTATTATCTTGAAGGATGAGCCCATCTGTTGAGATGGTTGGAATCATTACTAATAGTTGAACATTTTTTATATACATTTAGAAAGCAGAGCAACTTCGTAGAGCTCTACATTGACAGCAATTCCAACAATACAACAACTACACTAATACCTAACAGAGATCTCCAACTGCCAGGTACTCTCCCTGGTGCTCACTGAATCTTCCACTTAAGGGAGGAGGAAGCTGAGGCACAGAGAGGTAACATAACTTCTCCCAGGTTGCACAGCTGCGAAGTTCCAGAACTTTGAGTAAACCAGCTAGTCTGGTCCACAGTGGGAGCCAGCAGAACTTCCACCTTCTGGGAAGAATGGCCTCACGTGGACATGAGTGCACAAAGGACAGGATGGCACACCATCTCTCCTTTCAGACGGGTAGCCTCTGGTGTCAAGGGACACCTGGCAGGTGACTTTGGGATGTGAGAGTGTAGGAGTGACCCTGCTTTTGAACTCAGGAGAGAGCAGAAGCTCAGGCAAGCAGGCTTGGTAACAGCCTGGGAGGGCTGTTTTATTTTGGGGGGTTGATTTCATGTTCTTCAAGGCTGGCTTTTTAAAAACATGCTCATCTTGGTCACACTAATTCCCCCCTGGAGATTTTGACACATGGGTTCAGAGCCCCGAGGAATGTCTTCAGCCTCAGGCAGTGCCTGGGAAGGGCACACAGTGTGGTCACAGGATTGGGAAATACTTGAACTATTCTAAAGGCGGTTCCAAACAAACCCCCAGTCAATCAGTTAGAAACGGATGCAGTGTGACATAGGACATAGGACAGTGGTGCATAGTGAGGAAGGTGGCATCATTCTGGACGTGAATAGCTACAGTGGGGGCAGGAGGAAGTCTGAAATTGGAATTCCCTGATTTTCATACAGGCAACTTTCTTTGTGCCCAGTGCTGACTGGCATTTTGATATTGCAAAATCTTTATAAATGTCAAGGCCACTCCTGTCTTATTTATATGCATTAGTACTTGGAGTTTCACAACTAACTCTTTAAAATTTTCTAATCATCTACTCATCTCACATTCACTTCCTCGGAGAGTATGCTGCCAGATTGCCTGGGTGCCTGTTAAAACAATAATTGCCTTGATTTTAAAGATATTTCTTAGTACTAATAACTCTGTTACATAGGAGAACAATTCTCTAACAATCTTCAGGCTTGCAATTTTAATGTCTTAGGTTGAATTTGTTTAAAGTCATTAAAAACTGCATGATAGTGTATGATTGCATGAACTACTTCCATAGTTACCTGAAAAGACTGAAAGGGTCAGCTTAAGAAGCCCAACAAAATACTAGGGACCACTAATGTACCTAAAGCTGAATCTTACTATTAGTAAATTGAATATAATTACTGTTCAAAAAGTTACAGCCAACCGTTACAGTTGGAAGAGTAGAAATAGTCCCAAACAGTGTCAGAGTTTTAAATAAGACTTATTTACTCTTAATCTTGAGTTATTATTAATTAGTGCTCTGTGAGCTATTTCCTTTATACGATAAGCACAAGTGTATTCAATAAGTGAGAAAAATAGAAAAAGGATCAAGATTTATTTAACTCTTTAATATAGTCAATTTTCAAATGCTTTAATGATTCTAGAAAGTATATTCACTACCCTAAACAATGTCTAAAACAGACACTGTTGTCTGTCTTGGCCCATTACAAAAAGACAAGACCTTGGGGACAGGAAGCTGTCATCCTCCATCACTGCTCCTACCTAGATGAGCAGTGAATGTACACAGAATGGATTCTATAGACAAACTGGCTGTGTGGACCCAGGAGATCTGGTGCTTTGAGCCTTAGGTTGAGTAGAGGTGTGTATGTGAGTCAGTTTCACTGTGTGCTAACGATACAAGGCACAACTTTCTAAGTTGTTACGTTTAGGTCTTGACCATTTAGGTACTAGTTATTTGGTGTATTTGTTCTTCAACTCCTTGCCCCTGTTCTCCATATTTTTTGTTTATGATAGCCAACAATTACCCCTTATATTTACTGTAGGTCTTGAGTTGTATTTTGTATTCTTAATTCACTGGATACATCATTGTAAATTAGACACACGGATACCTTGGTCATTTTTTTTGAGAGAGAGAGAGAGAGAGAAAGAGAATTTTTTAATATTTATTTTTTAGTTTTCGGCAGACACAACATCTTTGTTTGTATATGGTGCTGAGGATCGAACCCGGGCCGCATGCATGCCAGGTGAGCACGCTACCGCTAGAGCCACATCCCCAGCCCCCCTTGGTCATTTTTAATGAGCTAATTTCTTTGTTTCTTTTGATTATAAGGCAAACGGTTATTTAAGGAAACCTAATACAAGGAAGGCTTCTCCCCTAAAGAGTGGCTCAGTGGTAGAGCGCTTGCCTCACACGTGTGAGGCACTGGCTTCAATTCTCAGCACCACATATAAATAAGTGAATAAAATAAAGGTCCATCAACCCTAAAAAAAAAAATTTAAAAAGTGATCCAAAATGACACCTAACACCATAGCAGGAACTCTAGTGGAAGACTGTGCCAACCAATGTGCTTTGCTAAGCAATAGCTTTTTTTTTTTTTAAGTTCTTAATATTTATACTTCTATATGCTCATTTAAAAGTATAATTAAGACTATCGGGCTGGTGATGTGGCTCAAGCAGTAGCTCGCTTGCCTGGCATGCGTGCGGCCCGGGTTCCATCCTCAGCACCACATACAAAGATGTTGTGTCTGCCGAAAACTAAAAAATATTAAAAAAAATTCTCTTTAAAAAAAAAAAAAAAAGACTATCCTCTGTATTTTTATTTTTGCATTTTTATTTAGTATTAGAAAAGGTTTCCTTTTTCAATAAAATTAAGCAAAACCCTTCTCTATGTAATATTCTATCAAGGGATATGCTACATAACTTATTTAACTTGTTTCTAAAGTTTGATTTTTGGGTCCTTTTCTGAGTCTTCATTTTATAAACAGATGATAAACCTATTTGTTTCTGTTGTACCTCCTCCTGCGTATTTCTTTATTTTACTTTTAAGGCCAATAGTGTTGCAGCTGGTCTCTTGATGCACCTAAAGTGTGTCTCCTTATTTTAATAATTTTTTCTGAAACATTTTGCTTTAAGTTGTTTTCTTCCTTTATCACAAAACAACCATTTTAAGTTCTTGTAAATCACTCTTCCCCAGGCATTGCGAAGCTGGAGGAAGGAGATGAACTTCAACTTGCAATACCACGAGAAGATGCAAAGATTTCACGGGACGGAGATGGCACCTTTTTTGGGGCATTGAAACTTCTGTGACCCACTTATGCCGTGTCTGTGGCTCTTTGCCCCTCTTCCTCTGCACCTCTAAGGGGAAATCACTTAACTGGAAGTGCCAAAAGGGGAAAAGTAGTTACCATAGCCTTTTCTGTGAGCTGTTTATTTTGGTTTGCTGAAAGTGGTCCAAAACAGGAAATTTAACAGACAACCACAGCCAAAGAGTGTCATGTGAATTACAAGAAATAGAGCCTGTATTCAGAAAGATAGAATTAGAAAGACTTTTCAGTATAATTCTATCTTGAACAATGTACCACAGCTTCTTCTCTCAGAGGAAGCACATGGCTCAAAGAGCAGTAGTGACTTCTCCAAAAGTGATATTCCATCATGTCCCCTGGAACTTGTGTCCACATCTGTAGGACATGGAGACATCTATGGACAGTCTCAGATTTCATTTTTTCTTGTTAAAAACGCCCCTCTTGGGCCTGGGGTTATGGCTCAGCGGTAGAGCTCTTGCCTCGCACATGCAAGGCCCTGGGTTCGATCCTCAGCACCACATATAAGTTTAAAAAAAAAAAAAGGCCCCTCTTTAAGTTAATGTCATAGAAAGTTTAACAACAACAAAAAATCCTCTAGAAATCTTGCATTAAGTACAAGAATAATTGAAAGTTTAGTGGTTTTGATTTTAGGTTCCAGTTAAAAGAATAAACAACTTTAAAAAGTTCAATTTTAAATATTACACAATTGGACTGAAAAGAGGATAAATGTACCACTTAAGTTTTTGCTTGGTTCAACTATGCAATTTTCACCTCTAATATTATCTATTACCCAGACATTTCACAGAAGGAAAAGAATTTTCTCCATTGTATATGCATGTATGTATTTTTATAATTTCACTTCAAACATTTAGATGTAGGGCAATTTCACCTTATGCATATAAAGCACTAATTAAAAATAACTAGTTGCACTTATATAAAGTCTCCAAGAGAAATGAATGAAGACATTTATGATAAAGTAATATAATTTCCCTTTATTTCTGGTTGTTCTATTTCAAACTGCTGCTATTGTAGTCCACGTATCCCAGCCTTTCACACACACCTGGTACTTGCTTTATGGAAGTGGAGGTGTCACTGAAGGCCTTAGCATCCTGGAGTTAGGAGCGTGCATGTACTCTTGCAAAGCTCCAACGTCTCAGAAGACATGATCATAATTCTAATTTTATCAGGAATCATACTTGACAATGCCGTAGTACTTAACATTTTTGTAACAGCTGCTTCCTTTGTATTTTGTCATCTTATCTCATTAACAGTAAACTTCACTAAGTAGTTGCCTTCATTTGTTTAAATAGTATTTGGAAAAAAATGCCCCAGTCTACATCAACTTTCCATGTAGAAAGTTTTTAAAGACACTTTTCAAAACTAAGAAAGTGATTTAAGATTGTATCTAAAACCAAACTTTGTTTAAATCTCTGGTTCTTAAGTTTTTCCTTGTTGATCCAAATAAAATATATTTAGCAATTCATTTTGCTTTTTTTTTTTTAAAGAAGTGAGGACTGGGGATGTGGCTCAAGTGGTAACTTGCTCTCCTGGCATGCACGGGGCTCTGGGTTCGATCCTCAGCACCACATAATAAAAAAACAAATAAGTAAAGGTGTTGTGTCCACTGAAAAATAAATATTAAAAAAATTCTCTCTCCTCTCTTGAAAAAAAAAAAAAAGAGAAAGGAAGAAGAAGTGATAGGAGGAGGAGGGCTTTGATGCTGGGGGAGTGGTTGGTCCCCTCCCCTGCTGGCTGCTGACTGACGGCCCAGTAATAGGACTCAGAACCTCTGCCTCCTCGTCCATCTGCATTTGTCTAGCATCACGGGTCCTCTGGTTTCATGTAGTTGTCACTTGACGATCAGGTGAGAACCACTGTGAAGTGTTGTGAAGTGTCTGGAACCCCTAATGTGTTCCACATGTGCGGAGGGTCTGTTCACCTCTATACCCACTTATTATCCTCCTCTCCTGGAGCAACAGGTGTTTAAAGAGGTAACACGGAATCATGTCACAGGCTCACGCTGTACACTATTGCAGTCTACAGCATGTGCATCTATAGCTTTAAAAGATTTAACATTTTGTCAGTGGATGCAGAATGTGGCCATGTAAGATAGTTTTAACTTTTATTTTCCTTTCAGTTTAAACCATTATTGAAATATGAATCCCGTTTTCCTTGTATGTATTATGAGGAAAACACTGTGGTTAAGTAAAAGTTTATTTAAAAACCAGGAAACAGACTAGGTGCGGTGGCACACATCTGTAATCCCAGTGGCTTGGGAGGCTAAGACAGGAGGATCCCAAGTTCAAAGCCAGCCTGAGCAATGGCAAGCCACTAAGCAACTCTGACCCTGTCTCTAAATAAAATACAAAATAAGGCTGGGGGCATGGCTCAGTGGTTGAGTGCCCCCAGTTCAATTCCTGGTACCCAAACAAACAGAAAACAGGAAATAGGATCAAGAGTAGGTGAACAGTGCATGTGGGAATCTCTTGCAGCCGTAGTTGGCCGAGTTGCCTTTTTTCTTCCTCAAGTTAGTTAAGGGGGAAAAATGATTTCATTCTAAGTTTTCCTATAACAAAACATTTTTAAGTTTTAAGTGTATGGGCCCAACCTAGACATCCTTTTGCCTTAAATCCTAAGTCAAGAGCAGTGAGTACAAACACCTGCTTGAAGCTTCCTTTGTGTGGGAACTATGTGAATTAGCAGACCATCCCAAGGGAATAATTTGCAGCTCTCAATGGCACTTGGAGAAATGCTCTGTGAGTCACTGTGGGAAGAGGTCCTTGCCCTGTGGTGCATTATGGATGTTTCTATCATTGGTAGAAGAATGCACAGATCTGTTTGAATTCTCAATTGAATTAAAGGCACAGACACAAGGGTGCATCTTTACAAAGTGGTGGTACCCTGGGAATGCTGCGCAGCTGTAAACACAGCCGTTGCCACACCCCGTCTTTCTGCTCCTCTGTCCTCAGTGACTACTGCCCTGCTGACTGCTAGCCGTCTCCCCTCTCCGGCTCTGCAGGGCACACTGGGTGCTGGTGAGCTTTCCATTACTGGGACAGAGATGAACGACTTCTAAGGAGAAAAGGTTTGCTTTGGCTCATGGTTTTAGGCCTTGAGCCCATGGTAAGGCAGGGCATCCCGCTGGGAGCACACAGCAGGGAAACTGGCCTCCTCATGACCCCCAGGAGGCAAAGACAGTCAGGAAGAGGCTGGGTCCCCATGTCCCCTTCAAGGGCATGCCGCAGGACCTCACCTCTTTCCCAGGCCCTGCCTCCTAGAGGTTCTACCACCTCCCAGTAGTGCCATGAGCTGGGGACAAAGCCTGCGACCCTTGGGCTTTAGGGGGCGGCTTACAAATCCTCACTGTTGGTACGGGATGTTCTCGTCTGAGTCCACCGGCACTTACTCGTCATTCTAACTGTGACGTTTGCCATGATGCTGCATGTAGCTGTGGTTCTTTCCAGCTCACAGCTCCACAGAATGTCACTCCAGGATAAGTCACAGTGCATTTCTCTTTCACTATGGAAGGGTCTTTGGAGTATTTCCAGTTGTGGCTGATATGAGTAATATTTCTGTGAATGTTTTCTTAAAATATTTTGAGGAAGCCATACACTTGTGTCTTCTGGATGTGGATCTGAAAGTGGAATTTTTGCTGCATAAAATAGACGCTCAGCTTCGGGAGATGCCGCCCCAGTGGTGAACCGTTTGCAGAACCTCTAACAACCAGGCTACAGTAAGCAGCACTTGACTTGGCTCATGACTGCCACTTGCTTCTGCCAGGCAAACACGCTCCTCTTTGTCTGGGACGCCACTCGGCTGTCCTTGTGCTAGTGCCTAGAGTGGAGTGGAAAATAGCATTTATTCCCGGTTAACCACAGACACATTCACTCCTATAAGTCAATTTTGTAAGCCTTTATAAATTAGGTAATCTTTCACACATTGATCATTGCCGCAGTCTCGCTGGGCACAATTCAGGAGCCACTTGTCAAAAGAAACGAACTTTATTTTTAGAACCACACACGCCAAACAAAACAGCTCCTCAGGAAAAACCCTCAGAGCCCAACTGCCACCACCTGCTTCCCACAAGCCTCTCCCCCTCCCCCACTCCTCCTGGTCTTGAGGCTGATTGGCTGGGTTGCATGGGCGGAGCCAAAAAAAGTCCCCCAATGAGCAGCTCCGTAGTCTGAAAGGGCGGGGAAACAGCCCAATGAGCATCACTGCAGAGGAGCCAATCAGCTAGAAGTTGCTGGGGCCGCTGTGAGCCAATCATCAGCTGGCAGTCTGAAAGTTTGCTGGGGCCCCTTCGGCTGTGGCTCTCAACAGATCATGGTAGGCAAAGGGTCCCAAGGGCAGGGGCTGTAGCTCAGTGGTAGAGTGCTTGTCTAGCATGTGTGAGGCTCTGGCTTCAATTCTCCGCATCAAGTACAATAAAAATCCATTAACAACTAAAAAATATTAAAAAAAGAGTCCCAGGCCCTCCGAGCAGTTTCTTCCTTTGGGTTCTTCTCCTATGGTCAAGGCCCAGGTGTGAGGGCCTGGAGAGGGGCAGCCAGCAGCTCTGGTCACTGAGGAGACTGTTGATCTGCTCCCAGATGAGGAAGAAGCAGAGGCAGAGTGGGATCATCTTGACTTTCTCACCTTCTCCATCACCATATCCCAGTGGATTGTCTCTTATTTAAAAAATGAGGTGATATTATATTTGTGATTACTTTTCTAAAAGTTACAATAAGAATAGGAGCTGTTTACCCGTGAACCCTTGGCATGGTTGCCCACTCCCGTCTATTCCACTGTCTCAGTGCAGAATGAGCTGGAATATGTTCAGACTAGATCATTTCCCCCTGCACACCAAATTTCATGCATGTGAAATGTTTTAGGAATTTGCTTTGTTTATCTAATTTTTATTCTTATCTTGTTTTTGCCAGGTCTTGCCTCAATCACACATTGTATTTAAAACTAGTCACAAAGACAGGAGCCAGTAGACGGACTGAAGGGGTGGCTACCTGGTGAAGGCCTGTTTGTTGTGCTGTTGTGATTCTGAATAGCCAATTTAGGTTTCTCAGTGGCCTATTTGCCATTTCAGAGGAGTAAAAATATAAGATAACAATACAGAGACAATGATATACCTGGTCTATGGCAGAGCAGTTGGTGAAGTTTTTTGTCTCATTTTTTTCATCTACA